TGGGCGATGGAAGCAATCGTCGGGTGGTCGAAGAACATCGTCGGTGACATCTCCTTTCCGAACTCGGCGGAAAGATTTGATGTTAGCTCCGTTGCAGCGATCGAGTCCAAACCAGCAGACATGAGCGGTATATTTGAGTCAACTTATGTACCCATGGATCGACTTACCACGGATCACACAATCATGTTGCTATCGCCAAGTAGTCTTCGCGGTGTGTTTATTGTTGTACTACCGTAAGTAGTTTTGGAAACCTACTTCGTATGCTGCTCTGCTCGCACCCCTAGGGGGGCGGGAAATAGCCCCATTGCGTAGAAGAATGATTGTTGTCTAGCTCATCAGAATATTGCTCTAATGGCAGTGATGCTACCCGAAAAGTATGTCAGAATTGCCATCTCAAGACACCGAGAGCGAACACTCTGGAATCATGATGTTGAAGAGGGCTATTTTCCTGGTAAATGGTCTCCCCAACGCCCGGCATGGACAGAAACCTAAGCATTTAATTACAAGTCTAGAGTTCGATACCTTTCATGACTGCCTCCCCAAATGGGCCGCAATCCGCCCAGAGTGAGTAATGAACTTCTCAAAGCCCAAGTGCTGAGAAGGGCTCCAAACACATGCTCTTCGAAGTGATTTATTAGTTCAAAACCATTTTCAGTATTCCTGAGGTATGTGTTCGCTACAAATGCTCCCTTTGTCATGATTTGAGTTCGCAGACAAGCACCAAAGGGATTGATGGCGGACGACGGATAGCATGCTGACGCGCTACAGCAACTTCAAACGATTTAGCATTGTACGTCTTCGGCATTGGCAAAGGGCCTTCGAGACTAGAGGGTGGTGGCACTCGGTGAACTCAACGAACTCGATGAATTCAGAGGACAGACGTTATGTGTGTTTGATAAGGCTTCGTTTCCAACTGCATACATTGTTTAATGTGCTCATGTCGGGCGTCGGTAAGGATGACACGAAAGATGAATACTGGACTAGCCCCTGGCTAGGTTAACGATGAGATTTCAAGAGTCGCGCAAGTCAACTCGTCATTGCACACGATACAAAGAAGGATCTTGCTATTGCTTCGGGGGTAATTCCGGACGCGCCCAAGAAACAAAAGCTCCGTGCGCGATGGTCCCTGTGGCACCGAAAGAGCTGAGTCAACCAAGAGGCGCTGAAGATAGTGGTGTCGAATCACAAAGCGGGACGAGGTACAGAGCATTTTGGACGAGGGAGATGAGGTGCGGATTCAGATTCCGCACCTGAGTGTTGGCAGCGATGCTGCGAAACTACAGGGACAATGAAGACAGGGCCACTGCCCCAGCGCCGCCTGCCACGGCTTCGAGATGTCCCATGTTTGCTTTGAGTGAGGTGCACGAAACTTCAATTCCTAACTTGCATAGGGCGATAATTGCTGCGCTTACTTCGACGGGGTCCCCAAGCGCAGTTCCCGTGCCGTGTGCCTCAAGGGCGGTAGAGATACGATTGTTTTGTGTGCGAAGTGAGTGTTCAACAGCGACAATAAGCCGCCGCTGCGCAGATCCGTTAGGAGCAGTCAAACTCGCGCTCGGTCCATCGCTTTAGACCCGTGTCCCACCGACTTCGCAGGGACCAAAAACATTGTTATCCACAGTCAACCAGATGGAAACAGACCCCTCTCCACGACAGTACCCGTCTCCTCTGGCATCAAACGAGTGGCATCGACCCCGCTCAGAAAGCATGCCCTAAGCAGCAAAGGCGCGGGTGAAACTAGGTCCAAGCAGTCCAACACCAGAAGCTATGGCATCCGGGCATTCACGATGCGTCAAAGAGCAAGACGCGAGGTGAAGAGCAACGAGTTGTGAAGAACACGCCGTATCAAGGGAAACACAAGGGCCCGTCAGCCCAAGTATGAATGACGTTTAGCCGCTGGCGAAAGAGATCTATGCAGCTTGTGCTACACAGGCACCACCAGCCGCATGTTCTACAGGTTACCCAAGGATTCCCACAAACACCCCAACAGCTTGTTCTTTTTTTTGACTGCGCGATGTTACCTTTTGCAGTCTTAGTACCGAGTCTGCCCCTTGAAGAACCACAACAAATTGCGGGTCCTAATTTCGTGCTTGACTGGGGGAAATCTCAAATACTTCTCATTCCAGAGAAAGATCGCCCAGAAGAAATGATCCATAGCTTGCCGGTGAGTCGCGAGAAGCTATGGCCCATCTTGGCAAGGGAACATCAGAAGGCGTCGCCAGGATTCATGTCAGTAGCTCTCGCATCGAGCCCGGATTCGCAATAGCAGCACCGAGTTGAATCGAACATGTTGCTTGGTAGATCCTCCGTCCAAGAATCAGGTTCTCGTGCCTTGCAAGTGAGCAGCGGTTCTCCAACAGACCTGCGTTAGGCATCTGATGCAATGTAGCCCTGGTCGGCGCTTAGACAGTGATTGAGCTTGAAGCAGCTAAACTTTAGGCGATTCTTTCGATGGAAGGGTGGTCAAACACGAGGGCGGCCGAGAGATCAGCGCTAAACACGCCACTCAATACCCGTTGCAGCTCTATTACACCCAGGGAATCGACACCGGCGGCCATCAACGGCACTTCGCTGGATACCTAGGTCCCGAGTACCTTTGCGACGCACATAGCCACCATTGTTCGCGCTTGACACATCTTCATCTTGAAACAAGCAGCTTCGCCCATATGCAGCGATGCCGCCTGGATTTCCTGGCCAACATAGTGAGCTATCCCTGCGATCAAAGGATGATCAAAGAGAAGAGTGGCCGAGAGTACGGCGCTAAACTCTCTGCTCAGTGCCCGCTGCAACTCTGTTGCACCCAAGGAATCGACACCGGCGGCCATCAACGGTGTGTCGCAAGCTACCTGAGTCCCGAGCACTGCAGCAACACAAATGCTGACTTGCAGCAGTAGAGTCTCAAATCTATCATTATTTGATGTGGCCGAAGCAAGTGATAGCTGGTGGGCTGGTGGATTGAAAGCTTCCTGCTGCGATGCCTCTCAGATCGCAGCGGAGTCCCGCAGCGGAGACGCCCTTTGGTTCGCCGTTGACTCCGCAAACAAAACGATCTCAGAGGCGCCATGCGCAGCGTCTCACACGCACTCCATTGCCACGTTAGTTTGTCCAGACATGCTGTTTGCCTGGCTCAGCGCCTACCTTGCTGCAACAAGCTTTGACTCAGCGCACTTCGGTGTCACTCAATCTACCAATCCAAAAATTTCCGCCTGCTCACTCGAGATAACCCCATCTTCTAAATACATCAGAAAAGCTGTAGAGCGTCCTACCATTACTCACAACGCACGGCTAAGCATGAAAAGAGGATTCACGCCGCGCGGCAAATTACCAAAATTGAGCGTTGTTTTCCTACTGCAAGCACGCCAATCTGCCACAAGAGCAAACGCGACGCCACCTCCCAGCAATTTGCCATGGATTGAGGCATATGTTGGCATCATGATCATTCAAATGTCTCTTGTGATAGCACTGTGTCCTTGCAACATCGCGAGCGTACCGTACTCGTGCTCCTCGTGCCGTCCTCCAGTGCAGAAGTGGGAACCAGCACCCTGGAATACATTCGCACTCACCTGCTTGCAACAAACTAGGTAGTCGAGCGCTTTCACGACTAGTCTCAAGTCGTCCAGCATGCTGCGACGCTAGGCATTAAAACAACAAGGGTCGTTGAGTTCCATGGTGGCCAAGACTGAAACTGTCAGACGCACCACCCGCAACCGCACGTGTCAAACCGGCAAAGCGAGCTTCCAGGTGGTGTTGTGTGTCGCTCGGTTGTGGCCAAGACTGCTTCTGCATACGAAGTGAAGCCCAGCAGCACTTTCCGGTCTTGGGAGTGAACTGCATCAGATACTAATCATCACAACACCGACACAAGGAGATCTGCACCAGCACGAAGCCTGCAGACACGAGACAGGAAGAGCATATCAGA